GCTAGTCTCTGGGTGCTTCAATATCCCTTGTTTCTGGCCCATACCACTGTAGTAAGTCTGCCATTAAAATTGTCTAGAATTCTATTTTTACCAGAACCATAGCTGACACAAAGACTCATCCCTATATTAACTTGTCAAAAGAAATAACTCTTCCCCAAAATCATTGTATAGAATGTTAACAGGTAGAAAAGAATTCATCTGTATCAGGGTGATGCCTTCAGCTGTAAGAAATAGACAGCCCTAAGAATAAATAAGAAACTCTTATTATTGCAGTAATATAAGGTCCTAGTAGAGAGCAGGTCCAGATAGAACTGTGGAGCTCATCTCATCCCATCTTGTGTACTATTATCTTCAGGTTATTGTCCTAAAGGACCACAAACAATAATTTGGCATAACAAACAGTCTAGCAGAATAGACAATCTCTTCTGATATCTCATGAGAGTATTTTACTGCTGAGATCTTTCTCAGAAACACTGCAGAATATTTTCCAAACATCTCACTGCTCACATATCCACTCCAATAAAATTGTTAGCATAGAATCTCCATAATTAATTCAGAGTAAGCTGTATTTACCCCTATGTAATTGAGAGGAAGGATGGACAAAGAGAAAAGAGCCCCAGCAAGTAAGGAATAGTCTCCTGGAATTGCTTATCAACATGTTGCAGGGAAGCATTAGGAAACAGAGACAGTATATGACACTCTATAGTATGCAATACAAACACATAGTTTGTGGATTACATATAACTCGAGTTACACATATGTCTAAATAGATACAGAAATGAAGTACCAAGAGTATAAAAGAGGCATTTCATTACATATGACTTACTTTTCAGTTGTCGAGTGCAGTATTATTGTTTAAAACTGATGTTACCTTTGTGAAATTTATGTGTCATTGTTATTAACATTTACAGTGTTAACTGACCCAGAGGTAGCTGAAAAACCTCAGAAAATAGTTTGGGTTTTTAATGGAAGTGGTAATTCTGCAATAATAGCCATACTCATTCACATATGCCAGAAAAGTCAGAGGAAAGGGAGGTAATATGGTTGTAAAATAACATGTACAGGCCACACTCTAAAGAGACTCAGGTGGTATCAAAAATAAAACTGATGCAGAGGTAGTTAAAAACCTCACAAAAAAATATTTTGGCTTTTTTACTGAAGAGGCAGTTCTGTGATAATGTATTTATGTCAGGAAATAGGAGAAAGGGCATGTGATTTGTACTTTAAATTTTCCAAATATATTTCCTTATATCCATAGTGGTGTGCTGGTAAATATTTGACAAATGGTTCTCTAATAAAATAAAAAACCTAAACTTTTATTTTGCCAATTTCCATGGTTTAAATACTCCCATTAAAGCTAAGCTGCCAACATGATAGCACTGAATGTAGAATTGGGAAGAGAAGTGCAGTAGCACACCAATACAGAGCATTTTCTCCATGCAGATTCAACAATATGTGTAACCTAAAGAACAGAGAAAGTAGCAAAATGTTATAATTAGGAAGTGATGAGTGTTCCATATTTACTGCCTTTGTTTTTAATAAATTTATAACTTTAATTTTTAAATGACTATTTAACAAATGGCTCACAAAATTCCTGAAAATTTAACAATCAGTGGTACTTGCAAGCCACTATGAGCTTACTCTAGCACACCAATGTATGTATGTGGGTATGTGTGTATAAATATATTTACATGTACATATATAATTATGTTAACCTATAGACACTAGTAGTATCTAGAACGAGAAATATTAAGAAAGAACTTAATAGTTATTTAACTAAGTGTTCATGTTTTCTCTTTACAAGAATGTTGGGCTCTAAAATACAACAAATCAAGCATACCTCAAATTTTGTTATATTAGTATACACACATAAGGCCTGCAAACATTAGGGACTCTTCACAGAAATGTTTAATGTTGTCATTCAATTTTTTTGGCTTCAAATTACACTGTAAATATTGGTATAAATGAATATCGCCCATTACATTTACAATAAAATTTGGTATCACCTCTGGAATATGACACTACACAATTTCTCAATGAAGATTTTTACCATATTACTTAAATGAATAAATTTCCCATCAGTACAAGTTTTCTGATGAAAATTTTTAATTTTTCTTAAAAGCTTTCACATATTTAAAACATCGATAAGGTTTTATTCTACTATTAATTATCTGAAGTAAAATAAAATGTCATTTTTTAGTACTTTGTGACATTCTTTGGGTTTATCTTGTTTAAAAAAAAAAACTATAAGGAATTTAAAAGGGTGGATGAAGGTTTCTGAACTTTCAGGATGCTGAAAGAGCTTTCACCCTTGTGTGAATTCTCTGATGTTTAGTGAGTACTGACCTCTGACTAAAGGTTTTCCCACATCCATTACACTCATAGGGTTTCTCCCCTGTGTGAGTTCTCTGATGTTTAGTGAGAGCTGATTTCTCACAGAAGGTTTTTCCACATTCATTACATTTATAGGGTTTCTCTCCTGTGTGAGTTCTTTGATGTACAATGAGGTTTGACTTAACACAGAAGGATTTCCCACATTCATTACATATAAAGGGTTTTTCTCCTGTGTGTGTTCTCTGATGTACAGTTAGGGCTGACCTGTGGCAGAAGGATTTTCCACATGCATTACATTCATAGGGTTTCTCTCCTGTGTGTGTTCTCTGATGTTCAGTGAGGTTTGACTTCACGCAGAATGTTTTTCCACATTGCTTACATTCATAGGGCTTTTCTCCTGTATGTGTTCGTTGATGGTTGGTGAGGTGTGGTTTCTGACAAAAAGATTTTCCACATTCAGTACATTCATAGGGTTTCTCTCCTGTGTGAGTTCTCTGATGCTGAGTGAGGTTTGACTTCTCCCAGAATGTTTTCCCACATTCAGCACATTCAAAGGTTTTTTCTCCTGAATGAGCTCTTCGAGGTTGGGTGAGATGTGACTTCTTGTTGAAATTATTTCCATTTTCCTTGTGCTCACAAGGTTTTTCCCCCATATGTACTATCTGATGTTTAAAGAGGCCTGATTTTTCCCACGTTTTGTGACTTACTTTATATTCATGGGGTATCTTTCCTGTATAAGTTCCATGATGGATAATGAAAGTTGAACTGTCACAGAAAATTTGCCCATATTCATTATATTCATAAGGATTCTCTCCTGTAAGAGCCCTCTGATGTCCGAATCTTAAATCCATATAGAAGGACTTCCCACAAATACTGCATTCATATGGCTCCATTTCCAAATGAGTTCTCTGAGATAAATTGAGCTTTAAACTTTGAATGAAGGTTCTTTGACATACATCATATTTACAGAGTGTCTCTCCTATCTGAGCTCTCTTGTTTGTGAAAGAGGGTGCCTCTTCATGGAAGCCTTGTCCATTTTCATTATAATCAAAAGGCTGGTCAAAAATTAGCTGAGTGAGATCCTGGCTATGACTGAGGATATTCCTTTTTTGATTATATTTATAAGATTTCCCTCCAGTAGTTTTTTCATGCCTAATATCCAGGAGCAATTTCTCATATATATTAAATTCATCAGGCTTCTTTCCAGAATAGTTCTTTCTATTAGTAATTAAGCCTGAAATATTCCTCAAACTCATTTCACATGAGTCACATATCTTATAAGGAAAATTTCTTGAAGGAACACAGTCTGTACCCAGACTGAAAGTTTTCCTTACTCTATCACCACCATCTATGCTTAATGTTCTGTTGGTGGTGAAAGCAAGTTGCCAAAAATGTTCATCTTGATTTTCCTGGCTGCTCTCTATCAGGTCATCAACTTTCCAGTCTTCTAGAAATGAGAAAAATAACCACATTTTATGAATCCCAGTACATTTCTAATGGAATTAGACTTTTACACAAATGCCCTACTACACACTCAATTCTTTGTTTCATGCTCAGTTTTCTGTATGAACTAAATCTAAGTATATATTTCCTTTACTCTTTGAGTGGAAAATACACGCTTCAGCGGAAACAGAAAACTGGCAATGACACTTAACACCTTTTAAATATAATCTTTAAAACTAGCTAGAAAAATAAATAAAATTCAAAGCACAAGGAACAGGGGGTGGCTGATTCAGAAATGATTCAGAAACAGGGAAACTCAGAAAATGGGGCGAGACCAAAAGAGACATTAAACACTGAAGAAAGTGACAGTGAAGATTAGTAGACAAGGGCTTTCGAGGATGAACTATGTTTGATAGAGAATAGTTTAGGTCTAAACCTACCATACAATGATTACTGGGGTAGAACTCTTACTGGAATACATGCCTCTACTCTATAAATCAACATCCAACTAAAGTTCTGAAAACACCAACTTCCTTAGATTAAAAAAAAATAGTCCTATAACCCAGGATCTAGATTTTCCTTTAATTTAATTCACAAGGAATAATTATTTTTTAAAATGCTATACGAGAGGCAAATGAGATAAGGTGAAATAAACTCAAGACATGGTAAGCGAGCAATAGAGATTTTCTGAGAGTTGTTCATTTAAGGAACAAGAAACTCAGAGAACTAAATAAGTTCAATGAGGGAGTTCTTTCTTTTATTTTTTAAGGAAAATAGGTTGAGAAACATATTAGAAGAACAATTTGATTTGACAGAGATAGATCACGGTTTCTGATTACTGTGGTAGGATCCTCATTAATATACATGTTGTCATTCTTTTTCCTCTCCATTTGATAAGTCAACATCAAAATAAATTTCCGAAAGCATCATTTTCCTCATGTATTAAGGGACACTGCTTTACCTCAGATTCCTATCTATCTACGTAGCTGTGATTCACAATCACACAAATGTTCAACAAGAAATACAACAAAGATGAGGGAAAGGCCATCTCTGCAAAAGGACCAGGTTCCTTTTGTTTTCTCACAGCTGTTAATGAATTTATCCTGACCATCAAGTCTTAAGTTTCTTCACTTCAATCTGCTGACTTAGTTTCCCCAACAGTTTTGTTTCTGAGGCAATACTGATCTTTAAATCTGCTTTTATTTCTATGTTTATCTTGTATATTGAGGTTTTCCTGCTTTTATATCTGTGGATTTTACTTACTTACAAGACCCATAATGATCACATTTCTCTATATGGTTCTGAGACCTTCGGTAGATTTTTATCATAAAAATTTGTCATACTTCACTGTTGCTACCTAATGCAACAATGTTAATCACATATTAAAAAAAAAAACCTATGACAGTTTTGAGCCCAATGCTCCAAGGACCAAGAGATGATAGTTATTATCCTGGCAAAAACGAATCAAAACAAAAGCAAACTGACTTTACACCAACAGGATTCATATTAAGTGTTCAAGCCACTATGCCACAAGTCCATTTAAATTACCTCTGTGTAACTCTAGCTGGGTCTCTGTTAAATTGTTCATTCCCAACAACATACTTTTGACTTAACTAGCTGTACTCCAGCCTTGGCTCTCCTTGGAACCTGCACATTCCTCAGGAAATGCTACTTTCTTTAATTTAAAACAACAAACCACAAAAATAATAATAAAAGAACAAAACCAACAAATTATAACATCCTTACCATTTTCAGCCCCTACTTGCTATCTTTATAAGTTACTGTCTGTATAATCCACTGTAATGTAAAATAAATCCCTTGTTCAATGCTACACCTTTTGTCATGGCCACAGTCTGGATTTTGGTAGGTGTTACCAAAATCCTATTTTCTCGGACTTCATTGAGGAAACAGTACATTAATAATTCTTAGAAAGCAATGTGCATATGAATTATTTCCAACCTATACCTGATGAGCTATACTACATGAGGACAAAATATAGAAATGTGCATTTAGGAAACATACTACAGAATGTTTTCTGAATGGATGAAAAAGAAGGACCTCTTCTAAACTTGGCTCCACAGTTAATCACCAAAGTAATTATTACAGTATCAGAATTAGGAAAACTTAGAAAGGGCCTTCTGTTTGGGAAAAGAAAGTCTCAATGGGAAAGAAACCCTAAGGAACAGACATATAGCAGGTCTGAGTTTTTTGGGACAGTTTTTTGAGTGAGATAGGATCATCTAATAAGGACTATTTAAATTATAGCAAAAAATTGAGCTCTAACTTAAAATAAGTGAAATAGTAACAATAATCCATTACTAGGTACCATACAATGTCTAAACACTTTCCATGTGCAATATTAAGTATTAGAAAAGGCAAAGTAAACAAGAATAAAAGTTGAAGATAAGAGACAGCATTTTTAAATGGAATTTAAGATATAAGACAGAATGAGATTTAGTATAAATTCTGGGGAGCAGAAAGAAAGAAACTGAGATAGGTAAAATAGGATCATAATGCAATAGTCAATGAAAGGAGACTTTAATTTCAAAAGCAACTTTGTCAGGTTAATAAAATATACAGTGAATTCTTTAGGTAAAAATATAAAAACCATTTAGAAATCAGATCAAGCCAGGAATAAAAAAAACATACACAGTTCTGATTTTAAATGATATCAGTGAAAAGTGAGAAAATAAAAAGATGTGAAAGATGGTTTTGAAAGGAAAACAACAATAGGAGTCGGAAGAGACTAGAAATGAGGGATAACAGGTTTAGTATAGTAACCCATGGTTGTCGCTTATAAAGTAGTAGTACAGTGGTAGAATGTTCTTTATTTAACTCCTGGAAAACCAGGCTCCCTGGTTTTCATGTCACTTAGACTGTTCCTTCTCAATTTCCTCTAATGATGAGATTTAATGGATTTATAGGCCTTGTAAAAGTGTATTGTTCCAGAACTACTTCTCTCACGACCACTCTCTAGACAAGGAGTCAGTAAACTATGACTGCAAGGTAATGGTCCTTGAACTAAGAATGTTTTTTACATTTTCAGAGGGAAAAAGATGGAAGAGGCAATAGAGAGGAGTGGGGAGGAAGAAGAAAGAGGAGGAGAAGAGAGGAGAGAAAGAGGTGAAAACGGGGAGAGGAGCAGCAGCAGCAACAACCAAGACCACCCGTGGCCACTAAGCCTAAAATATTTACTGTTTGGTCTTTTACAACAAAGTTTGCCAACTTATAATCTAGAAGGTCTCCTCTAGCCCCATCTCTTTAACACCACCTGAAGTTGCAGCCTTTCAAATTGATACTTCTAGTTCTAGACTCCATACTTGTATATGTTCAACCTCCAATTCATTACAGACTAGATTTTAACAGTTATCTCAAGCTTCTTGAGTCCAAATTTAAATTCGTCATTACTTCCCTATAATCTTGCCTCCCTAATTTTTGCTATTTCAGTAAATGGCACCCTAATTTATCTAGTTGCTTAAAACAAATCATTGGAATCATGCTTAAGTCCTCTGTTTTTCTCACATTCTATATCCAATCCAACAGCAAATCCTCTTGGTCTCATCTTCAAGACATCTGTACAAATCTACTACTTCTCAGTACTTCCAACATAGTTAGCCATGATCCTCTCCCATTTGGTATACATAATGGCCTCCTAACTGGTATTCTTTCATTGCTCATGCCTAACCACTGCCCACTCACCACAGTGTATTCACTGCATAGAAATCAAAACTGTAAATTAGATCTTATGACTTAATCTGATTTACATTTACCATTACACACACACACACACACACACACACACACACACACACACAAGGATTTCTCACATCACTCAAAATAAAATAAATATATCTCCCATGGTCCATACGACTTTTTATGACATCATCTCCTATCAATCTCCCTCATGCCCATTCATCTCCAGCCACACTGGCCCTCTTGCCATCCTTCAAACACTCTGAGAATACATCTGTCTAAGAAGTTCACTATCCAGTGTTCCCTCTGCCTGGAATACTCTCAGAATCCACATAACTCATACATTTCACTTTGATGCTCATCTCTATTGACCTCATCAAAATGGTTTTCTCTGATTTCCTTACCAAGTAGCACAAGCCATCATTTTTCATCCCTCCTTCCAGTGCTGTAACTCTCTTTACAGTACTTACCACTACTCAACATTGTGTGTGCGTATGTACATGTACGTACGTATACCTACACACACGAATACACATATGTGCCTTTTGTCCTTCACTCTATGATAGCAGAACCAATGTTCTTTTAAACACCCAAAAACCTAACTGGATCTTATTGAGTATTCATCATATATTTGTTAAATGAATATATAGAAGTACTGCATGAAAACATACCAGCTAATAAAAGGTGTTCAAAAACAATAGAGGGAAGATGAATAATTCTAAAAGATAAACTAAGAAAAATTATCTAAGATGAAGCCAACTGAGTTTGGATTATGGGTATACGCAAATCATTCTTAAAAGAACAAAGGAAAGCATTTATGAGGGAAAGTGACATTTATGAGGGAATGTGATTTAAAGTAATGGACAGATGTGGGCCAATTGTCCTTAGTCACTTCTAAAAGTCTGGGGTTACAAAAAGAAATTCCTGAAAAATATCTGAAAGGTGATAAACACTAAGCCAATGGCCCTCAGATCTTATTTCCTCTGGCTTCCATCTGCCTGTGAACTAATGAACTCACCTGGGTGGCACTGGCTTGGGAATCCTTGCTCTAATATCCAGGGCTCTTCCTTTTGCTCTATCTTGATGATCACTTCTGGCTTAATAGTGCAACACCCTGTTAAGAGAAAATAATATAGAACTATGGCTAAACAGTCTGGCTTAAGGACTCTGAAAAAATGATGAGGAGGAAAGGTACAGCTTCAGGAGCTGTCCAAAGGAGGTGCCCAAATGAACCAATCCCTGAGGCAAGAACACAGCATTCTTTATGGTGGCCAAAAGGGATCATTCATCTTAGAGCCTTCAATCTCAAGCTTCAAATCAGAAAATTCCACAGAAAATCCATGTGTTTCATCAACTAAAAAATGCATGCTACTGGTAGTCACAAGGAAAAAAATTCTTACCTATTGAGACAAGGTGGCTATAATTTTCTAGCATCACATTTCTGTATAGTATCTTCTGAGTAGGATCCAACATATACCACTCTTCCTGAGTGAAGTCCACGCATACATCTTTGAATGACACTTGTTCCTGTAACGGTATATTCTTTTTCTATATGAAGCCATTAGAACTATATGATGAGAAAAAGATTTTAAAAAACTAATCTCTTTAGAGTTTACTAAAAATTGACATATAGGATGTCTTCTTTTGTGCTATACTATGTACGATGAAAGAGTATCTGTACAAATTGAGTTTCCAGTAAGCTCCTGGATCTGTCCTAACTGCTACAAATACTACTGATGAAAATAAACAGTTTCTGTCCTCAAAGTGTTTATAACTCAATAAAAAGACATATACCTTAACATTTACTAAATTAGACATTGCAGAAGCTAGCAGTATGCACAAAGTAGACTGGTGTTACCAGGAAAAAATTAGTTCTTTCATACTATCTTTTATATTAAGTTAACTTTCACTGAGGAGTAAAGCTTTCCGTTATTAAAATGAATGGTGGGATTGAAATGAATATGGTGCACACCCTGACCAAGCTCAACCCATGACTGATTAAAGAGACCAGCCTACACTCTACCTGCCGAGAGAAAAGGATGAATCCCTTCTGCTCAAAGAGATTATTTTCTGGAGCCTCGATCAATTTTCCTGTAGTTAAATACAATGTTTGGTAACCAATAAAAAACTTCATGTTCTGTAAAAAGACAAGGACCAAGAAAGAGACAATAAAAGCAGACCCACAAGAGATCCAGATATTGGAAGTGATAAACAAGAACTTCAAAATGAATTATGGTTAAAATGTTCAATATAACATGAAAATATGAAATAAATGAAAAAAATGGAAGAAGTTCAACAGATACACAGTATGTGTGTTGTACAGAAAAGACTTACTAAAGCAAGCCTGAGACTACTAGCCATTGAAAGGTCTGCCACAGGGTGTCCCTTGGCTGGCATCTGGGAACTTGGATTTCAAGAGGGTTTTTACTATATCCTGATAAGAATGGTTCACCGAGCCTAACCTGTTTGTGTAAACAATGTGGTTTATGCTGCACATATACATTCCTTCTGGAGTCTGGAATTTTATATGGTAAGCAGAGAGTACCCACCCATGTGACCAGTGCCTGATAAAAACTCTGAGCACTGAGTGTCTACTGAGCTTCCCTGGCAGATATTTCATGTTTGTTCTCATAGCTCATTACTAGAGGACTTAAGTGTGTCCTGGGAGAAGACTTTTAAAAGCCTGTGCTTGGTTTCTTCTGGTCTGTGCCCCATATGCCTTTTCCCACTACTGATTTTGCTTTGCATCCTTTCACTTCAATAACTCATAACCATAAGTACAACTACATACTAAGTCATTCTAGTGAATCAAGGAACATGGGGATGGTCTTGGGGGCATCTGATACATGTGTACATATACACACATATATGCATACATATATAAAATGTACATTCTAGAGCTGAAAAATATACTATCTGAAATTAAGAACTCATTAGATAGGTTTAAAATCATATTAGAGAAAGAAGACACAAAATATGTATGCATCTAACAAAAGAGTATCAAAATACATACAGCAAAAACAGAACTGTTAGAAATAGACAAATCTATAATGATAGTTGAGACTTCACTTCTCTCTGTGTTGAGAGATCAAGCAGGCAGAAAATCAATAAGTACATAGATGACCTGAGTAGCACTATCAATTAACATGATCAAACTGACTCCATCCAAACAGTAAAATATACACTCTATCATTCTATTCTAGCTCACATGGAACACTCACCAAGATGGATCATCATCTAGGTCACAAAATACACCTTAACATATTTAAAACAATAGCCAATCATATAAAATATGTTCACAGACCACAATGGAAATATAAATCAATAAGAGATAGCTAGAAAATCTCCCAAATACTTGAAAATTAAGCAACACACTTATAAATAACTGATAGGTCAAAGAATTCTCAAAAGAAATTTTTAATAAATTTGAAATAAAATAAAAATGAAAATACCACTTATCAAAATTTGTGTGGGATGTAGTGAAATCAGTGCATAAAGGGACTGCCTTGCATGTTTTATGTCTCAAATATTTAGAATGTTAAAACAAGACAAAATAACCTTTAGACTAGACTGGGCCTAAGCAACCTTGTTTCACAAAGAACTGTTTGCAAAGATAATAAGAAAACAGATATAACTACTTTAGACCACAAGGCATCAGCCAGGTGATCAACAATGATACATTAATTTCGTTAAGTCATGTTAGAGCTTTTCCCTTTGATTTGATATGACCAAATGGTAGTTTATCTTCGTGGTCTTTCTTGAAGAAACCCATAACCTCATTCTAATCATGAGAAAAACAGCAGACAATTCTCAATTGAAGGACAGTCCACAGAACACCTAACTTGTACTCAAAACTGTCAAAGTCATCAAAAACAGGGAGAGTCGGAGAAACTGTAACAGCCAAGGAGAGCCTAAGGAAACATGATGATTAAGTGAAATGTGGTATCCCAAAACAGAATACCTGCATGGAGTAAAAACACCATGAGCAATTATCAAAAGACAAATGATATACTAGAAAATAATAGTTTGTAACATGTACAAGTATTAATATCCCTAACATATAGAGCTGACTAGACACTGGGTGTGGGGTGGGGAGGAGCCAGAAACCTAGGAGCAATATGAGCAAAAACAAGACACTTTTTAGAGAGACGAAAAAATATTCAACCTCACTCACTGTTAAGAAAATTGCTGGTGCAAACTACATAAAATAACACTTTTTACTTATCAGTTGCCAAAAGTCCAAAAGTTGAACCACATAATCTATGGAGAATAGCTGTGGAGAAATAAGCACTCTCATGCAGTGTCAAGGGTATATAAAATGATACTAAAATACCACCAAACTGATCAAGTTTATCTATTCTATCCACCCTTGGATTTGGCAATCCCACTTCTGGGAATTTATCTGATAGAATAAATCTACATGTACAAAGTTATTCATTAAAACATGGCTTGTAGTAGCAAAAGGTTGTTAATAGTTAATAACTAGTTAAATAAACTATGAAACATCCACGATTAAATTACTATGCCATTATAACAGAAAGAAGTAGCAATCCACGTTATATTAAAGAGAGATCTCTGGGGCAGGCTAAAAAAAGAAGTGAAAAAAAGCAAAAGAAGGAAAATAGTGTACAGACTTGCTACTCAACGTGTGGTTCCTTTAGCAGCAGAATCAGGTTTATTTGAGAGCTTATTAGAAAGGCAGAATCCAGGGACCCATCCAGTGCTACTACATCAAAATCTGCATTTTAACAAAAGGCTAGTGGTGTACAGGTGCATCTAAATTTGAGAAGGATTAAGGATAATGGATTCCCTTTTAAATAAAGAAAGGGGGCATACAAGAATACATACAAATATTTTCTTTTAACTAAATAAAGAAACACTGGGAGGACAAGCAAGAACAAGAAATAATGGATACCAACAGACTCTCATTTGCCTGAAACTGTCCTAATATGCCAGCTGTCACAGCATAATTGTTTGTAGAACCTCTTTCATTCTCAGTGAAAGTGTCTCAGTTTAGATGATAAAAAAATGTCACCCTATTTAGAGGGAAAATCAAGCACAGAGAAGATGGGAGAGTGAGGAGTTTTTACTTACTATCTTTAACTATGTTGATATATTACCAATTCAAAAATATTTTATTAAAAAAAGAGACAATACTGTTCAGGAAAAATAGGTAGATTAAAAAGAACAATAGGCCAAGGATGGATAAACAATGGATAAGCAATAAACCAGGAATAAGCAATTACTGAAGCAAAAAGAAAAGATAACTTATGAGGGATAAAAAGGAACTCTATTAGAATTACTAAAAGGATGGCTAGGAAGGCAGTGGCATAGACAATAACAGAGGAGACTTTCAAAACAGAACCTATGGATAGGAGTGTCAAATACTGGAGAAGGTGCAAGCAAGACAAACACAAAAACTGGATTTGATTTGGTGGCCTTTTCTAGAAATGATTCTGGTGAGCAGTGGTGAAGAAACAAGACTGCATTTATTAGGTTGAAATGTAAATGAGAAATAAAGAAACAAAAGTAGGAGCTGTCTACTACTCAAACTAGACAAATGAGCTGACACAAATATTTATAGGGAGTTATTTTCAGGATATAAAGTCCCTCCATTCTGCCAAGGTTTTAATCCTGGATCAAGCAGGACCACAAGAGAGCTGTCTACTCAACTCTCACTGTTTGGTCGCCTAAAAAGTATTTGCACTAGTTCTGCTTTAGCACTGTGCAATTTCCACCAAGAAATAATTATAGGCAACATAACACATTTATTTCATTGTTGTTATTAGATAAGAGAAAATTGTACAAAAACTTGGATAACTGTAAAATTAAACATCTTGCATCTAATTTTGCCTACTGCCCTACTTTGGATTTGACACTCCTGCTACATTTTCTTAATGTGAATTTTTCCCTATTTCTACTTTTTCATTTTAAAAATATAAATCCTTATAAACTTTAGAAAACCCATTTTAAAATAAGCGGGAAGAGAAGAGGATGTCAGAAACATGGAGGACTGAGAGACGTCCCCAGATCTCTCACCATGAAACAACAATAAGCTGAACATCTAAAACTCAACAAAAAACACCCAAACTACACACCAGCACGTCTGAGTGTGGGATCTGTGCATAAGAGCTACCACAGGTCAGAATCCTAGAAGTCAGGCAGTGGACTGGGAGTAATAAAGAAGCGGCCTCTCGCAGTAGCTGGAGATCCCTGTTGGGGGAGGAGGAGGGGAGAAGGTGCATCAGGTTCCCAGAAGAACCCTGCTGAGAGAGCTGTGAGCTCCACCCAGCGGCAGTGCCCAGGGACCAGAGCAGAAAGCAGAGAAGCAGGGATGGCAGGGAAACAGCAGTTGATTATTACCAGCTGCAGCTGCAAAACGTGAGGCTGTAGCTGCAGCTCTCATCCTCCAACCCAGACAGTGCCTTCCCCAATACCCTGTGAGATCAAACACCACGGCTCTCCAGGGGAATCTGGGAAAACACTACCAAAACTGGTGCTAACACTGACAAGGACTGAAACTGAGGGTAGTGATGTGAATATCTATT